TGCATGCTTCTCCTGCTTGTCGTTCTGCAGGAATGGTGACATTTTCCTGTGGGTATCATGCTACACTTGGTGGGCTGGGTCCTGGCCCCACCGCAGGCCAGCAACATGGAAAGCCCGAGTTCTCAGGGCACAACTGGGGCACAGGATTGTCCCTGTGGTATGACAGGGACAGATCAATGTGTAGTCTTGAGGTCAGAGGCTCACCAGCAGGGCCAGAAGTAGCCAGGGATGGAGGGCCCTTCCTGCCCCCACCTTCTGTCAGGCTCCCACTACTAAGCTTGGAGTCCCAAGTGTCAGAGCAAAAGGGCTGTGGGCCCACACAGGGGGAGTCCTACACCCGGGGAAGGGGCCTCCAGAGGGCCCTGAGAAACTGCCTCTGGTGAACCATTCTGGCCAGCCATCATTCTCCTCCTGGGAACCTCGGGGACCAGCCCGGTCATCTCTGCCCCCAGAGATGCAGTCCAAACTGCAGCTGATGGTGCCATTCTCACCCTGAGACTTGAGTCTAGGGTTCTGCTGGCCAGCCCCTGGAGCAGAGCCTGCTCCACCCCCCAAACCCTGCTCTCCGAAGAGGAGCCTTCTCTCAGGTACCCTCAGGAGGGCAGGCTGCCCCAAGGTGCCAAACCAGACAGTTGTGGCCTCTAAGAGCCCCACGACCCAGGTCCCACCATCACTGGAAGGACTGCAGTATCTGGATTCAGTCAGCTGACCATCTGCAACTGCCTCCAGGTGGCTTTTTTCTGTTACTGGAAATGCAAGATATACTTGAGATAAAATGTTTGACCAAAAGTAGAAAAACTAAGTGTGTATGCACGCAGACATAAAATAGAAACTAGAAATTTATCAAAGACTAGCTATAGTCAATCATCTAATATAGTTTCTAAAATTTCTCACAACTAGATTCATCTTCTTTCAAACAAATTGCTATGGACTGAATATTTGTGTACCTCCCCAAATTCACATGTTGAAACCTAAGGCCCAAGGTGATGGTATTAGGAGGTAGGCCTGTTCAAGAAGTTTAGGTCATGAAGGTGGAGCCCTCATGAATGGGATTAGTGCCCTTATATAAGAGACTCCACAGGGGTGTCTGGGCGGCTCAGTCGGTTAAGTGTCCGACTCTTGATTTCAGCTCAGGTCATCATCTCAGGTTTGTGAGATCCAGCCTCACATCAGGTTCCGTGCTGGGCATGGAGTCTGCTTAAGATCTTAGGATTCTCTCTCCCCCTTTCCCTCTGACCCCCCCCCAAAAAAAAAGAAGGAAAAAGAGACCCCATAGTTTCCTTCATCTCCCATGAGGACAAAGCAAGAATTTAGCACTGTGCAACTCGGAAAAGGTCCTTCACCAGAAACTGCCCCTGCTGATACCCTGGACTTCATCCTCCAGAACTGTGTTTATAAACCATCCTCTCTGGGACATTTTGTTACAGCAGCCTGGACGGACTAAGACACAGTGGAATTATATATTATAGAATATATATTATACACACACACACACACACACACACAAATATACATATGATTTTCCAACCTCAAAGTTTTTTATTTATTATATAGACTTGTAGATTATTAATGCCACTGAAAATTATTTCCACATCAACAAGAAAAATACACTGAATTTAAAAAATAAAAGAAATTTTAAGCAACAATACACAAAAAATACTTCTACTTCTCAGGCACTGTCGTAGTCCAGAAGTGAATATGAGTTCAAGACCCCGATTTCTTCCTAAAGACATTGAAGAGTGTGGCTTCATTTTTCTGTGATGATCCCTCCAGAGCTGAATCATTTCATCAAAAGGAGCATGCCCCTGATTAGAAAAATTCCTCAAAGCACTCAGAACATGATAAGAGGAGTTTTCTAAAGGGAACAAGCCCTCCAGATATGTTAGCACACGCTCGGTTCTTCTGAGGTAAACATGTTGGCTATAAAAGTCAGTAAATAGACCTTTTACAAGGCACATGTAACTTTTACAGCTCAATCGATTTTTTCCTCAAGAATTTTCAGATCTAAATTTTTAATATACTGACCTGAAGTTCCCTGCTATTTTTTTATTTATTTTTTTAAAAGCTTTATTTATTTATTTGAGAGAGCGAGAATGAGAGAGAGAGAGAGTACATGAGAGGGGGGAGGGTTAGAGGGAGAAGCAGGCTCCTCGCTGAGCAGGGAGCCCGATGCGGGACTTGATCCCGGGACTCCAGGATCGTGGCCTGAGCCGAAGGCAGCCGCTTAACCACCTGAGCCACCCAGGTGCCCCCCCCCCACTGCTATTTTTCGATAAAACTATCAGATATCCCTTCCCTTTAAAGTATGCTATGTGAAATAAAGGTTAAAGTATTTCACTGCCAGAAACCCACACAGATGGAGCCAATTACCCAGGGGTCTCAAGTCACCGCATAGCAAGCCTGGTGGATACACAGCACTAAGAAGAGACAAGAATCTGCCAAGGGCTCACTCTGCTCTGCTCTGAGGCCATTTCACAGGGCCCAGCTCTCCCCAAGACTCCTGACCACAAGGCAGATAAGACACATCTGCAAAGAGCAGAAAGGGGTGAAGAACATTCGTGCACAAGGCACTTGTGACAAGGTGATCTAATAAGAAATACATACTTGGTCTCAGTTCCCAGTTCCTGACACCAGAGCTTCTAAGACCCTCAGACTCTCTGGAAGGGTAACAGTGTGTTTTGTATGCTAATGAGGTGAGTGGTGGCTGGGGGCCCTTTGATAGCTTCCTGATGGCAGCTGGTCAGGAGGAGAAAGATAGGAGGCATGATTAGAGGATGGGAACTCTGGGGAGGGGAGAAGGGCTGGAGATGGAATTCAGTTGTCAGTAGCCAGTGATGTAATCACCCGTGTGTAAGTAATGAGGCTTCCAATAAAACCCTTCAACTACAGGTTGGAGGAGCCTCCCAGTTGGGGGACACACTGAGGTGCTCTTCTGGTGGCGTGCCCACAGAGGGGTCTGTGCACCCTCCACGCACCTTCCCCTCCACCTTGCCCACTGGGCCGTTCCTGAGTTGTGTCCTTTAAAATAAACCGGTAAAAAAAAAAATAAAAAAATAAAAAAATAAAAAATAAAATAAACCGGTAATAGTAAATAAAGTGCCTTCCTTAATTCTTCAAGTAGTTCTAGCGAATTATTGAAGGAGGGCCTTGTGGGCCCCCCACCCGACTTTCTATCAAGTCTATCAGAAGTACCAGGGACTGACCACTGGCATCTGACATGGGGGCAGTCTGGTGGGACTGAGCCCTTCCCGGTGGGGTCTGCATGGACTCCCCCAGGGGGTTAGTGTCAGAATGGAACTGAATTCACCTGGACCAGGTTAATAATGTCCAGAAAATGAGAGTTGTTAGGAAGGAAAAACCAAAAACCAAACCCGACCAAAACAAACCCCACACATTTGGTGTCAGGAGCATCATAAGTTTAAAAAAAACATTCAGAGCACATGTGAATCAAACTTACCCATTTAGAAACTGTCAAGGTCAAAACTGTGTAATTCAAAAGTCAGCACCTGGTAGCCCGTCCTCAGGGACCCAAGCCCCTAATGGCATTATGGGGTGAAGGGGAAACGGGCTGAGCGTGTAGGAGAGGACAGGAGCCTTTCCCTCTTAATTCTCCAGCTTGAAACCAATCCTATAGTCTTGACCCCTCCTCTGCCCTAGCTCTCATCAGTCCTGCCTTGGGTGTCCCCATTAACTGTGAAATCCCAGAGCCTGGGGAATAGGGAGCTGTGCATGTCTGCTTTCCCAGTACCAAAAACGGGGCCTGGCCACAGCTATGGGATCTCATGGGGAAATACACATTTCATTTCTGCCCAGAAATGTTCCACCTTCCAAGGTGCTTCTAAGTATGGGAGGTGTGGGCAGCAGGCCCCAGGGCAGGAAGCACAGTGAGAAACATGAGCTGAGGGCCCCCCCCCCCCCCCGGGAGGGAGACAGCCCCAGGCGGGCCCGAAGCAGGCCCGCTGCACTGAGCCTGGCCGGCCTGCCCCCGGAACCAGTGACATAACTTACCAAGGAGCAGGGATACCCGCGACATCCTCAGACACCCGCTTTGGTCTTCGCATTTGCGGGGCTGATTCATCCAGAAATGCGCATATCCCCTCTCTGCCTTAAAACAGCACGCAGGTGGTTTGTTTTTGCTTTTGCTTTGGGGTTTGGGGCTTGTTTCCTACCCTCCACCTAGAGAATGTCCTTTAGCTTTGCTGGGGCAGCCAGAGCGGCAGGCATCAGAACCACCTGCTGTTTGTGACTGGCCGAGGCGCCCGTCTGCAGCCCGAGCCCCGCGCCTCCTTCTCCAGAGTCTTACCTCCTCCACGGTCGGCTCTTCCTTTTCCTCCTGGGTCCGTTCTTTGTCTCCAACGGCACACTGGCCAACTGTTGGCTCTGGAAAGAAACCTCTTTATAGTTCTTAAAAATAAGCCCAGTCATGTTCTATTTTTAATGGGTTTTAAATGTCTGTTCTACAAAAGAAAAGTCCCTGTAAAAAAGAAGAGAGCCGATGGAACCTCGCCCGGGGAGAGGCGTGTGGGCGGGGGCTGGGGAGCCGGGGGCAGAGCAGCTGGGCTGGGCAACCTTGCGCTGGCCCCACCGGGTGGCGAGCCTGGAGGTCCAGAGAGGAAGGCGAAGTTCATGGAGCACCGCTCTGCGTGGGGCGAGAAGTCGGCTCCCTGCCTCAGTCCTTGTCCTTGTGGGAGAGAGGGCAGGGGAGCCACGGATGAGGGACCCTAGCGGCGGGCTCGAGGGCCCCGCCACCACCAAGGCCGCATGTTCCAGCCTCATGCACAGGAAATGGCCTGATGGACGCCTGCCCTAGGCCTTGAGCACCGCGCCAAACCGCTGTGCAGGCGGGAGGCCGGCCTGCCACCCCTCCTCCCTCGGCGGCCCGGGAGCGCCCGCGGGGCTGTCCCCGGGATGGCGCGGTGGCCTCCCTGGCTTTCCCGGACTGCAGCCGGGCCTGAGGTTTTGGGCCTCCCGCCACCTGAACTTGTGTCTTCTGCTTGCAGTTCTTCCCTTACGGGGACGCCTCCAAGTTCGCCCAGCACGCCTTCCGAACCTTTGACAAGAACGGGGACGGCACCATCGACTTCCGAGAGTTCATCTGTGCCCTGTCCATCACGTCGAGGGGCAGCTTCGAGCAGAAGCTGAACTGGGCCTTTAACATGTACGACCTGGACGGCGACGGCAAGATCACGAGGGTGGAGATGCTGGAGATCATAGAGGTGAGGCGGTGGGCCCTCAGGGCGCGGCGGGGCCAGGGGGGCGGGGGGGGGGGGGGGCCCCCGGGGCGGGGGGGGGGGGGGGGGGGGGGGGGGGGGGGGGACCTAGATGGCGGGGGTGGGGGTGGCCTTTGGGGGTGGAGGGCCCTCGGGGCGGGGCGGGGCCGGGCCGGCGGGGCCTCGGTGGACCTCGCCATGCGGGTGGACTTCGGGACTGGGGCGGGGCGGGCTAGGACCACGGCCGCAGGGCACGGGAGGCAGACCCCCCCCCCCAGGAGGAAGCTTCCTGGAGCCTAGACTGTAGCGACTTCTTTTCTTCCCGGCCTGGAGCCCGGGTAGTTGCATGCCAGGCCGTGAATTCTCCCGACCCCCATCCCGGGCCTCGGCGCAGCGCTGGGAAAAGTCACAGATCCAAGCCGCCGGGCTCCAAGGGTATTATCAGATTGTTCTTCTGCCCTTGGTTTAGCTCTGCTCTGCTGGATGTTCCCCCCTTCCTCAAACCAGCTTTCCCCTGGTGGGCATCTTGGGTCCTCTAACTGGAATCTTAAAAACTTTATTGAGTTATAATTTATAGACCACAGTATGCAGCCATCACCATAATCCAATTTTAGAACATTTTCATTCCCCCTGTAAGACCCCTCCTGCCACCTGCCTGTTCTTATTACAGACTCAGAAGACTCCACTCTTCTTTGTCTCTATGGATTTATGTCTCTGGACATTTCGTATAAACAGAATCGTACAATATAAATATATGGCTTGTCTGGCTTTTTTTTTTTTTAATCTGTGTTGTAGGATTCATCAGCATTTCGTTCCTTTTTATTTCTAAAATAGTATTCAATTGCACAGATCTGTCATATTGTTTATCTGTTTACCAGTTGTTGGAGTGCTGGTGTTGCTTCCACTCCTTGGCCCTTAATAATGCTGCTACGAACATTCACCAGCAGGTCTTGGTATAGATGGGCAATAGAAACTTGTTTCTATTTAGAAAATTCCCACGTTGAGAATTACTTGTGTACAGCTAATTGAACTGGATGGTCAGAATTCTTTAACTTACAGAGTGCCTGATCCACAGATCTCCCTACACCATCTTCTTTCTGAGCCAAACGTTACTGGCCCACCTTGCTTGTCTTAACTGATTGTTAAGTTCCTTATCAGTTCGGACCACCTTTTTTGTTTTCCTAAATCTACAAAGACTAGTGCTTGGTGACTTTCATCTGTACTTCAAACCCCGAATGTTTAAAACTGAGCTCATCATTTTCCTCCTGAATCTTCTCATCTGTTATTCTTGCACCTACCACTGAAGTACTCTTTTCCCCACTTCCTCCAGCCAGAAACCTGGGAGTCGGATGAAATTCTTTTATGCCCAATTAGTCATAAAGATGCACACATATTTGATTATATCACTGTCTTACTTAAAACGACTTTGGAGTCCTTTGAAGTAAATTTAAATTCTTTATCAGATCGTGGGAGAACTTTATGGTCTGTTTCTGGTTTTCCCAAGGCTATCTATAAGATGGTAGGCACCGTGATCATGATGAAAATGAATGAGGACGGCCTTACGCCTGAGCAGCGAGTAGACAAGATTTTCAGCAAGATGGATAAGAACAAAGATGACCAGATTACACTGGATGAATTCAAAGAAGCTGCAAAGAGCGACCCTTCCATTGTATTACTTCTGCAGTGCGACATTCAGAAATGAGCTGAGGTCAACGCTATGGACTGCACAAAAGTCTCAATGTTCCATTCAGTCTGCAGCTATTCTTTCACACACACACACACACACACACACACACACACACACACACAC